GTTTCATTAAGTGGGTGTTTGTTGAGTGTCTTTAATAGACCAGGCCATGTAGAAGGCACTCTAGATATAATTATTGTAGGGAATAAGTTGCTAAGAAAAGTTGGAGGGGAAAAGAAAGCAATTTCCTGGGAGGGAGATATTACAACAGTTCCAGACCCCAATACAGAGGAAGTCTTTAATTAAAATTAACATCACCATTAGGGGACATAGCTATGTGGACCAATAATGCAATGATTTCCAAAGTGACCTGCCAAATCAATTTGAATAACTTGTCAACCAATAGGGCAATCATTTTTTAACCTGCCAGTCAAGTGAATCTATTAATTAGATAATTTGATCGACATTTGGTATTGAGATGGATTCAAATTGGTAGGTGCAGTAAAATAAATTGATTAGATGAATGTTTTCCTTTTAATGGAGTGATTCTTTGAGTGATTTGAAAGTTGATTTTAGAACATTTCAGAATTACTGTGAGTATGAGTCATTATTCTAGTTCAGCAACTATATGACCTCTAAGACAGTGGACTGCCTTCTTTGTAGCTCATTCGAAGGAAATAAATAATGATGACTTGATCTTCTTTAGGAGTCAGCAGCTAAAGCCTATTAATTCTTCCATAGTAGAGCTTTAAACATTCTGGATCTTGGAAAGGAAAAGGAGGGAGGTTATCTCTTGGATCTTATCAGTCATTATTCTACTACAATAGTGTTTGCCCAATATTTACCTTGAAAAATCAGGAAAACACTATTATTATTCCCTGTTACCTGTTTACTGAAGAAGTTGAATTCTGAGACATTCCAGCTCCTTTAAGCCCAGACTGAAAATTCATATCAGGTTTCAGATCATCGTGCCTTCCCAGGTCAAGAGCAGCTGGCTGTGCAAAGGTTAGTTTTACAATTTTACACAGCTTTATCCCCACCTGTTCTTCACTCCTATATCCTTTAGTGAAAACTGCATTACTTTGAAGTTGAAGGTTGCATTCAGGCAGACAGAGCAGCTTTACTCCCACCCTGAGTTGGAACAGATAATGGATTCTGCAGAGCAGGTGTCCAACTGACCAAGGTCATCGAACAATGATTCAGTGTAAATATCCAAATTGAAGTTGTGGACAAACTCAGCACATGACAGGTGCAGTTGATGAGTGTCCTGTCTGGCTGTCGCAGTGGTCTGAGGACACAGAACAAATCAAATGAAGAAGGCTGCACCTGCCTTAGAAGGTTATGTCTTCACTAATCCTGTAGCAACTGGCAGGTTGGCATTACTTGGTGCATATCTCTGCATTGGTGTGTTTGGATGATTTTGTTTCTCAGGAGCTATTTGTTCAGGGAAAAAATGGAAAGTGGAAAAATGAAGTCAGTTTTCTCTTGACATTTCCAAAGATGAATACTTGTGAAGAACAAGCAGGCAATCTTTCCTTAGAAATAGTCAATCCAAAGAACCTAGAAAGTCCTTCAGAGTTGCGAACAGAAGATCACAACTTCAAAAAAAATCACAAGAAAAAAATCAGAAGACTCTTCTCCTGGGAAAGAAGAGGAATTACAATCAATATATTACAACTTTATGGTTCTCAGCACTGTACAGAAGTTTCCTTTTGAGACAATGTCTGAAAGTCAAAGTCAAAGCATCTAATACATGCAACGTGTGAATGATTAAAGTCAACAAAAAATGGGATTAAGTTACCAGGATTTTTAAAAATACAGTTGACAAAATGAAAGAGTTTTAGAAAAGCCCTTGAATTATATAGGTATAGGGTATATATATTAAAATGGTTTATAGCATTTTTTTTCTGCTTTCATAGTTGAAAAGGCTAATGTAATATTTTTAATTTTTACTTTTTGATATTCAATATTATATTAGTTTCAGGTGTATAGCATAATGGTTAGACATTTATATAATTTATGAAGTGATCTCTCTGATAAGTCTAGCACCCACCTGACATCAAAAGGCTAATGTAATGTTAAATGCTTTGCTTAATTTTACATCATTAGAAAGTGAACTAGTGTACACTTAAGTTGCTTTATATTTTCAACATAGTGAAGAGGTCAGCAAACATTTCCATAAAGGGCCAAATTGAGAGAAAATAACCCTTGAAGGGGTAAGAACAGAGTGTATACATTAATAGGAGTTTATAGAATTTTCTCCCATTTCACAAGTATGAAGGCTGAAGTTAAATGACATGTTCAACATTATATCTTTAGAGTGCAAGAGCCTAAATTCAAAGTCATGTTTTTTGACTGTTAACTCAGTTCTCTTGTTACTTTTACCACAGTGCCTGAGCACTCTGAGTATCAAAAAAGGCCTCCAGAAAGCTCTGAGCCCAACAGGGCCTTCTCCCTCAAGGGTCATTGTAGTAATAGTTGTGCTTGCTCTCTGTGTTGAGAGTGGGAGCTATTTCTCTAAATGAATGGTTGGCCAATGAATATATTTTTGAACATCTACTGAATGTTGGGGTACAGAGTCACCGATTCCTTGTGCTCGAGAGACTTTTATACTAGCATGTGGGTGAGACAAACAAGCATCAAATAATCAAACAAATCAATTATATCAGATTCTGATAAGTGTTAGGAAGAAAATAAAATGGGGTAACATAGTAAAAAGTAACTAGCACTGGTAACTTAAGGTGGGGAACTGAAGCAGGCTCATTGGTGGCTTTACCAAGCAGGAAGACTGCAGAAGCTGCAAGAACCATAACCAAAATATAGTAGCTCAAATATTAGAAATGGCAAATGATGAAACAGACAATGAGATAACATTCCCATAATACATTATTGTTGTGGACCAGGTAACCCATGCAATGTTTTGAGTCTGGGCTAAGAAATGCAGACATGAGGAAGAAAATGAGATAGCTTCTGGGTGGAAGGTGAGGATGGCTTTCCCTAGGAGAGAATAATGGTAATACTGGTGTGTAGCATCACCTCCTAACTTTGAACTTATCCCACATTATCATGAAAGTGGGGAGACACATCATGTATCAAGAAAATGTTTTACATAAATTAACTCCTATACATGGATTAGCTCACAGAAACTATTGTTCATGTTTTACAAATAAGGAAACTGAGGTACAGGTGGCTTAAGTAACTTTCCTGTGAAAGGCTAAATAATGCCTCTCAATGATGTCCATATCCTAATCCTCAGAACATGTGAATATGTTTTCTTATATGTAAAAGGGGTTTTGCAGGTATGATTTCAAATTTTTCAGATGGAGGGATTATTCTAGATTATCTGGGTTTGCCCAATGTGATTATAAAGACCTTTGTAAGAGTCAGAAAGGAGGTGGAAGCAGAGTCGGACTGATGTGGCCAGGAGCCAAGGAATGCAGGAAGCTTTCAGAAGCTGGAAAATGCAAGGAAATAGATTCTCTTCTAGAACTTCTAAAAGAAATGTCACCTTGATTTTAGTCCAATGAAACCGATTTCAGAGTTCTGGCCTGTAGAACTGTAACATAATAAATTTGTGTTGTCTTAAACCACTAAATTTGTGGTAATCTGTTACAGCAGCAATAGGAAACTAATACACTGCCCAAGGCCACAGAGCTACAAAGCATCAGGGCTAGCATTAAAATTGAGGCAGTCTGGTGCCAGTACTGGCGATTTAACCACTATGTTATAGGGCCTTTCACAGGCAGAATAAAATTTCAGGTTGAATGCAAAATAAATGTCTCCTAGGTTTTCCTCTTAATCTCAGAATTCCAGGTCCCAGAGAAACTAAAAAAAAAAAAAAAAAAAAAAAAAAAAGAGAAAGGGGATCCTATACTAGCTGGTATACTCTCATCCTCTTCCCTGCTCCGTGTCTTCAATCCTGTATCCAAGAAATCACTAAATAAACCTCCCATTTTAGAGATGAGGAATTTGAGGACTAAAGAGTTGTGATTTTGAAGTCACCAAGCTGGTTGGTGAAACAATCAGCTAATTAGGCAAGGGGCAGATGGTGATGTGGGGAGACTCAATGATCTTAGTACCTGTATGGAACTCAAGGAAAGAGACTGTGACAAGCGAGGACCTAAGAATCCAGGCTTTCTGAAACCTGTGTTTCTCATTATTTGCTTAGGAAGGGTGGGAGAAGAAATGTTAATTACACATCTACCCAATGTAATACCTCTCTAGAAGAATCCAAAGTTCTCACTACAGCAAACTTTAGCCTCCTGTGATTCTTATATTCCCAAATATTAGCCACTTTGACATGCTGGTCACTGCCCCCAGCTCTCTAACACAGCATCTAAGATAGTTTGGATGCTCATGAATATTAACTGAATTAAGCAAAAATGCTTTTGATAGCATCCTTAGACCAGTGCTTTTCCAAATTTAAGGTGCATGCAAATTCCCTGGGGACCTCTTTAAAAACACAGGAAACTTATTGGATTCCATAAACCAATGTCACAATAAATAGATTAATTAATTAATTAAAAATAAAAATGCAGATTCAAAGTCAGAAAGTCTGGTTGGGGCCTGAGTTTGGGCATTTCCACAAACGTCCCATGATACTGTTACTGCTGGTCCATAGTCAATATTTTTCAAGGTTCCTGAAAATGAGACTTCCCTAACCATATACAAAATATAATTCATATAAAGTTTGATCATTCAATGAAAGTTTCCAGAGGTGGTATGGAAATAAAATTTTCCCCTTTTAGAAACCCGTGCCCTCCCAATCAAGAGAGCAAATTGGATGCCTGGATTCAGTGGAACGAGTTGAAACAGTACCCCAAATACCCGTTCTCTGACTTCTGCTCTGGTCTTCCAAAGGCAGGGAAAGGTGTAACAAAAGGAAAAAGGGAAGTGTCCAGGAGTTTTCACGCCTCCGTTCCTCTACCATTTCCAGCCTTTAAGGAGCATCTACCCCTTTTGAACCGCAGAGGTCACCACCAAACACTCGGGAGCGCAGCGCCGCGCCCCCCTCCGCGCCTTTGCCCAGGCGGAGACCGCCGACGCGCGTGCGTGGGCGCTCAGTATAAATAGATCCCAGGCGGCCGCCACTGGACAGAGTCAGGCTGCGGGCACCGCGGGCCATGGCGGGGGAGGACCACCAGTGGCAGGAGGGCAGCATTCTCTACAACATACTCATGAGCGCGAAGCAAACGCACGCGGCTCCGGAACCATCGGAGGCGCCCAAGGCGAGGCTGGGGGGCGTGTGCTGTGGCTGTTCTTGCGGCGCGGAGCCCCCGGTGGGCAGAGAGGGGCTGACGGGTGGGAGGGCAGGGGCGCTTCTATACCGCTGCTGCTGTTGTGGTGAAGAACACCAGCGGCAGGGCAGCATCCTCTACAATATCCTTACGAGCGCAAAGCAAATGCAAGAGGCTCCCAAGGCGCCAGAGGCGCGGCTGGGGAACGCGTGCTGGGGCTGCTCCTGCGGCGCTGAGCCCCCTGTGGGCAGAGAGGGACTGCCAGGTGGGCAGGCCACGGCTTTCCTGTACCGCTGCTGCTTTTGCGGTGAAGACCACCCACGACAGGGCAGCATCCTTTACAGCTTGCTCACAAGCGCAAAGCAAACACACGTGGCTCCGGAAGCTCCCGAGACTCGGCGGGGAGGCGGGTTGTGGGACCGCTCCTACTGTGCACAGAAGCTGTGGGGCAGAGAGGAGCTGCGGGGCGAGAGGGCAGTGGAGCTCCTGTATCGCTGCTGCCTTTGCGGTGAAGACCACCTGCGGCAGGGCAGCATTATCTACAACATGCCCACGAGCGCAAAACAAACGCACGCGGCTCCAGAGGTGCAGCCGGGGGCCCCCTGGTGGAACCCCTCATGTGGCGCGCAGCGGCTGGTGGTCCTCAAGAGTCCACAGGTGGTCTGCGAGGCAGCCTCGGCGGGCCTGTTGAAGACACTGCGCTTTGTCAAGTACTTACCCTGTTTCCAGGTGCTGCCCCTGGACCAGCAGCTGGTGCTGGTGCGCAGCTGCTGGGCGCCGTTGCTCTTGCTCGAGTTGGCCCAGGACCGCTTGAACTTCGAGATAGTGGAGACCTGGGAGCCCACCTTGCTGCAGAGGATCCTCACCAGCAGGCGGCGGGAGACCGCAGGCAACGAGCCGCCGCCTCTCCCCACGCTGCAGCCACACTTGGTACAGCCAACAGAGGCCCGGCATTTGCCGTCGGCCGCAGAAGTCCAAGCCATCAAGGGTTTCCTTGCCAAATGCTGGAGCCTGGAGATCAGTACCAAGGAGTACGCCTACCTCAAAGGAACCGTGCTCTTTAACCCCGGTAAGGGCACCAGGCTCGGGCTCTGGGTTTTCTGTGCTCAGTAGAGAGCTGTGCAGTGCCTACCCGGGGCACAGGCGCTGAAGAGCTTTCAGTGATCAGGGGAGTGAGTATCGGGGCAAAAGTGTAGAATGGCGACTAACTCAGCACAGTTGGGGGAGCTCCAGAAACCAACCATTCTTCGTGGGTGGGCTGCTGCCCAGAGGATGCGGATATTTTGTTGAGATCCGTACGCGTTTCTCTGCAACTTTCTGTTACTACAGAAAAGTTTGTCTTCAGGGGACAATGGCTATTTCTCCTCTAGTCTTTTAAATCCGATAGCACAGCTTTAAAAAAAAAAAGTTTGTGTTCACTGCAAATTCTACAACATCTCTTTCTGAAAACCACTTCTGAAATTTACTAGAACTTATTTGTTGGAGAAACTATTAAGGCTGGCAAGGAAGGTAACATTTAATGAGGACCCATAGGGAGATTATCTCCTAGGGACACTGTCAGGCAGGATACTGGGCTTAGTGTTTCATGAGTCTGCCTCTGAATAGTCATTTTATGGTCCTAAGCTGCTGGAGTATCTCATCGTCCAAGTGTCTGTGAATATAAGGCTAGCAAAGGGGCAGGAAAAAGACACAGTAGGGACTCGAGCAGGAGCACTGTATTTTAGAGCTTGAAAAGACCTTAGAGACCTCCTAATCAACCCCTTCTGGCCTCATCCCCATTTGCACGTTAGGTAGCCTAGTCCCAAATGACCTTACTTGAAAATAAATGGCCACTGAGTTATAGAACATGGGCCTCCTGTCTCCTAGGCCCAGTGGGATGTTTATTGCACCACACTTTCAGGTTGCCTCTTGGGTACTGGACACTCTCCTCCACACAGTGCAACCATATCATGGGAGACCATCTCCCTGAACAGCCAAGTACCCAGTCTTGAGTATGTCTTAATACTAGAGTCATCTTCAACCAGAATCCTTCCAAAAGGGTCACAGTGGATAGGAAGTTTCCAGGCAGCTTGAGTTGGGATAGTTTTTATAATGTTCCCTCCACATCCTTTTTTTTTCCCCTGACATCAGGAGTCTCCATTATGTCCTTGCTTCCTGCCTAGCATTTTTTCTAAGGGGTACAGAGCTGTATTTAGTGGGAAAATAATTCATTCAGAACTCACACTTCAGAACCTAGAGACCTTGGCTTATTCCAGCAATCACTATAGGTCGCCATTTACTTATATTATTGTTTTCCAAACTTGTGAGTGCATAAAAAACGCTTGCGGGGAGGCTTGTTTAAAACCTCTCCAGGCTCCTCCCCTAGAGATTCTGATTCAATAGTTCTGGTCCAGGGTAAGCAAATCTGCATTCATAATAAGTGCCCCAGGTGGTGTTTAACATCATTGGGAGACTGTTTTCTTGTGGGTATTATTAAACGTCTACAATGTGCCTTATTCTGTTGGAATACAAAGGTAAGACAAGCGCTCAGCTTCCAGAAGTTTACGTTCCACTAGTTACCAGTTTCCCTCTTTTCCTTCACTTTGTTTTGCATACTTTTCACACACACACACACACACACACACACACACACACACACACACACAAACACACACACACCATTGTTTCTATATTTCATTTATATCCTTATTTCCTCTCCACTTTTTCCTTCCTACCTAATTACCAAGTTTAACATATTTTCTCATCCCAGGAGCCTTTTGGAATGACCCTGAAGATTTGCAACTCCCCCTCCCTCCCTCCTTGCCTACCTCCCTTCCTCCCTTATTCTTGCTCTGCTTTTTGGAATCCTCCTAACATGAAGTTAGCCAGCTAAGCTGAGTGTTTTAAACACAAATGCACCTGTATTGGGGGAAAAAGTAATTCATGTTTAGTGCGTGTCCTTTCTTTGCTGTTTATCCATTTGTATCCCATGATCATTGTGTTTAAACATTTTTGTTTTTTACTGTGAAGTCCATCTATCCACCTTTTCTCTTTCCTGTATCTACTTCGAAGGCAAGTCTTTTTTTGGGAAAAGGCCACTTTCAGGGTGTGGAAAAGGAAGGGTGTGGTATGAAAGCAAAGAAAAGTGATGTGGAGTTCACAAGAGGAAGTTTTAATGAGCCATTAATCTAGACCTGAAAGAGCTTCAGATTTCTGGTGGAATTCATGCAAGCCTCTTCTTACCCTCATCAGTGGAATTCAAACCCAATAAACTTGGGTCTCAACCCTGGATAATAAACTGTAGGTAGTAGTGGATGTTATTGTGTGGACTGGGCTAATCAATTGGAATATGGATTAGAGATGTTGTTTTTTTCGTTCTCATTTTATCTATCAGATTTGGTATTTGGCTATAATAGGAATGACTCACCTATTGCTATTATTATTTTTTAAAGGACACTTGGCTCTGCTACTTTGTAATAATTAGCTTGGTGCTTTTAAAATTCTGTTGGATTTCGTAGAAAAAGAAGGAAAATGATTGCAGTAATCATTGACATCATTTTAACAGAACATTAATAGGTAATTACTTAAATACAAGTTAAAGACCTTTACAATAATATTACTATCATGAAGGACCAAAGAACTTTAAAAAGCAGCCTCCTCTTACCATCTTAAACTTATAGGCACTTCTTTCTTGCATTGTATTTCACTCAGTTTTACTTGGGTATTACACTGTACTGCAAGAAGGTCATGTGTTCTCTATTTGAAATGTTATTTTTGAATCATGTTGCAATCGATGGTGTTTTCATGTTTACTTTTTAACCTTTTAATGGCTATAAAACAATGCTTTCAAAGACCTCTTAAAATGATATTTTAAAAGAGACTTTTGGAATACTCATTAGAATCACTTTTTTTTTTGACCTTCCCAAATACAGAAATCATGGTACAATGAGCTAAGTGGACAGTGTTATCTCTTAAATTATCATAGGACTCTAGACTAAAATCAGCCTGCAGGCAAATAATTAAAATGAGACTGTGAGACACATTTGTGACTGTGAAGTTTACCACCATCATCTGGATAATCATTATAATGGTGGGAAATTCAAGGGAGGGTGGTAAAATATTTGTCATCTGACAAAACTTCTTGCCATTATACAATGGCCTGTTTCCCACAGGTAAAAGGTAAAGTACTCACTTCTTAAAATAATTGTACTTTATACTTGCATAGATAGATAGTGGACTGGAGCGTGCATTTGTTGGCTCAGGTCCAGCAGTTTTTAACTGAAGATACAAACAGTGGATATTAAATAAGAATAATTACATGATGTTTCTTTCTTGAAAGTATTGCTTCTGAAAACTTAGAACTGGCTTGGCATTTATCCTTGTTCTGGAAAGCCCTTTTTACCAGGAATTTTGAGCTCTTGTTTAATTTGGGAAGGGGCAGAAATTGATGTATTTAAAAAGCTAGCGAAGGGCTCTATGAATGTACTGTTTATGTGAAAAATTTTTCTCCTGTTTTCTCCTCCAGACCTGCCAGGCCTGCAGTGTGTGAATTACATTCAGGGACTTCAGCAGGGAACTCAGCAGATCCTCAGCGAACACATCAGGATGACGCACAGGGGGCACCAGGCCAGATTCGCTGAACTGAATAGTGCCCTTTTTCTACTGAGATTTATCAATGCCAGTGTTGTTGCTGAACTATTCTTTAGGCCCGTCATTGGCACAGTCAGCATGGATGATATGATGCTGGAAATGCTCTGTGAGAAATTATAAAGGCATCTGTGGGCCACACAAGTGCAGTTTACCGTGAAGAAAAGGAGCTGTGGGCAGAAGATTGTAAAATAGCATAAAATAAACTTTATTATTATTCTTACATGCATAGTATTTTTGTATTCAATTAAAGAAAAACTTTAGTTACAGACAATTAGAAAATCTTATTTCATACTGTTTCCTTGTGAAGGAAAACATTTGCTGCAGGTATCTTCTACATCTTTAAGGAAAGAGCAAGGTAGTACACTAATAAGCTATTTTCACAAGTTTAGCAATGCTTAACTGAACGTGCTAAAATAAAATTCATATTATTAAGTTATGGTAAATGTTAAAATGTTAACCATTAACTTGATTGCAAAAAGTTTCATCAGGGTTTAAATAAGACTTCAAAAAAATATTTAAAAACCTAGCCAACATAAACAAAAATTAAGTTATCTTTGACATTTAATTTTATGACATGCCAGTGTTGGTGAGGGTTAACTTGGCTGTCTTCATTTCCACTTTCATCAGCTATATTGAAGACCGTCTTTGTACCAAATGGAATTAAGTGGCAATCTGTGATCATAGAGGTGCCTGACAGTGCAGTAGAACATTTTCAGAATTTTAGTTTGGGATTATTCCGTACACGGTAAATAAAGTTCAACAAGAAACTTACATTCTATAAGGAGGCATTACAGTTCCAGATAGCTCACCATCATTATAAACCCCCAATTATATCTCACCTTTTAGATACATTATATATGTAACTGTCGTATTGAACAAGCATGGCATAAAATCATAAAGTGACTATGATTGGCTCCTGCTGCCCCCTTAAATGTCGTCTGTAGAACAAGTCCTTTTTTGTCACTGGAAAAAATTTAGGACACTAAATGTTTATTCACTTATAGGTAATAAATTGCCCGTTAGTGATTTGTACATCTAGACCCACTGCAAGGAGTCTTAAACTTTCTTTTGTGCAGATCCCTTTGGGAGTCTGGTGAATCCTATGGACATCTCAGAATTGGGCTCTCAGAATAATGCAGCAAATAAAATACCTAGGATTACAAAGAAAATGAATTATGCCAGACCATATTAAAAATGTTAAATTTAAAATGTGGTATAATAATATATCTGCTTCTTTATAAACACATTAAACTAGTGGCAGGTTCTAATATTTAACTTAATTTCAAAGCAGTGCTCAATATGATTGAAATTTCAGAATAACTTAGAACATCTATGATGTGATAAGAAAATATCTGAGATTTTCACTGGTGATTATGTTGGAGGGCCCCAAAATCACCACCCCATTCAGGCAGTCTGTTCCAAACCGTTCTGTCCTCAACACAAGTTTATCACCGGCCGAGTGGAAGTGTTCTGTGGGACAGTGCAGGACCTGGCCCACCCCTGTTGCTTCACAGTCACACAATCATATGCAATCTGGGCTGAGCTCTGCAGTCCTGAATCTGAAGTGCTCATAGCAGCTTGCAAAGGCAGCATGAGCATTTTTCTTCGGTAAGAGGAAAAAGCTTCCAGGAGCAGCTATGAAAATAAAGATCACGATATCCTACCCCTGCTCCTGCACCTTCTCAGGTGCCAGGGTTTTTGTTTGTTTTTGTTGTTGTTAAAAAAAATCAGTGTGTCCCATTCATTAATCCTCATTTTACAATTTTTTCTGGATCGTTTTGTTTTCACCAAGACCTTTCACCTGGAAGAGTTGTGTGTAAGAGGGACAAAAGCATTTTCACAGAATAAATTTCTTATACAACTTAACGAAAAAGACATCATATTCAGAAACTGGTCAGGGCGAAAGCCTGATTTTTCAATATTTTTTTTAAATGGGTTTACATAACCTCTCTTCCCCCATGTCTCTTGTCCTTATCATTTACCTAGTGAGCAGCCTATAACATCGGTCCCCTTCTGGAGACAGCTGCATTGAGTGATTCAATCACCTGAATAAGGTGTGTGCAACAGGAGAAAGGTGAGGGAAGTAGAGTCAGGCTGTCTGTCAATCCATTGTTGCAAACTGTAACTAATCAGGAAAGCAGAACACACAGTCAGCATCAGTGAGCCATCCCTCCAACCAAAGGAATTCCAGAGCCTGATCTGTCAGATATGGGTGGAGGGGTCACACTCCTGGTGACTGCTCTCCCCCAATTTGCAGCTCTCAGTAGGAATCAAGAGTTAGGACTGCAAACAGGCTCTGCATCAGAACTTCAGTGCCTCCATTTCAAACGTTCACATTCAGGAACAAGGTCTTACTTTAGGGCATCTGCAGGTGATCCAGCCAGCATCCATGTTTTCAGAGCTAGGACTCTGCAGAGGAGTATCCTAAATTTCCAGCAGTCCCAGAGTCCGAGTCCTGTTTATTGAGCCTGTGCCTCTTCACTTCAGTGCCTGAGTGGCTCGGTGCTGACACTGAAACAGCCCATAACAGGCATTATCAGGAGTGAGGTCCAGGCAATTAGGATACGTGAATTCGGTATACCAAAATGCCAGAAGCTTTTCCTCAACAGCAACAAAGCTGAGACACTAATAGGGCCAGATACCTGAGTTCCAAGTCCAAGTGACAAGCTAGGCTTTCCGAAGCACATTTAGTCTTGTCAGTCTTAGGGCCCAAATTGACCCATGCAAAAATATACACATCAGGCTAGAAAGTCATCAGCCCCTAAGGGTCAGAAATCTGATTTCACAAGGGCTCATTAGAAAATAAAAAACCGCTTTCTAAATTCCAAAAGTGTATCTTAATCTGGAGATCGGCTAACTTTTTCCAGGCAAAATCAGCAAAAAGTCATCAGTTACAGAGACTTATGTCCAATACTAGGAGTTTAAATTCCCATCTGCCCACCTGTGACAAAAAAGCAAGGGAGCTGTGTCCCATTAACGTGTTTTTTTTTCTTTGCCACTTTCCCTGGTAAGGATGACCCCTTTGGCATTTATGAAATTAAGAGCATATAATATTTTACATCAATTTTTATCGTACATCTAGATGCTGTACTCTTTTTCTATCATTGGCTAATGGTGTCCCCGTAACACTATAATTTCATTTTGATTCATTTTCATCTTGCAGTTAGATGATGTATGAAGACATATAGCCACTAAAGTAAAAGTAAAGGTAAGTGAGCAAGATACTGCTCTAAAGAGAAAAAATACACACATACACACATGTGTACACACATACACATATATAAAGCCATCTACAAATTCCTTAGAATTGTAACTCACTCAGGCATTGTCACATCAGGTAGTAAGTTATGTATATGAACTTAACAACTACTGGTTAGTGTTCCAAAGTAATAATTTATGAGAGTTGGGCAGAGTTGTTCATTTAGTTTTACAGGAGTCTTACTGATCAATAGATTTTTTTCCTATTTTTGTCATGGGATTCTCTATGAGTAATCAGGGAAATCTAATCCTGAACCTGATGTTTTAGGTCAGAAATCCATATGGGCAATTTTAGAGCAGACCAAAAATTCTGGCAGATATTTTAAGAAGCATTTTAATTGATTAGAAAATGATGCAGGATAGCCTATAGAAAACAAACTGTAAAAATAAGTAGAACAAAAATAAGAAGGTAGTGAATAGCAGAGGGTGGGGGACAAAATAAGCAGGAAAAGGGGAAAGTAAATGTCTAACATAAAATGAATATCAGATTTATCTAAATGACTATATTTACCTAAAATATTCTATATCATTACAAAGTTTTACTCTAATTCATGGATATGAGAAAACCATAATATATTTCAAGTAAAAAACCTAATATTTACTTTGCCAAGCTCTATTTTGAGTGTTTTTCATGGAAGATACCTTTCAATCCCCTCAATAGCTCTACAAGTTAAACATTATCTTCCCAGGTAAGTAAGTCAAGGCTCAACAATTGGGTATCTTTCTCAAGACCCTATCACTAGCATAGGCATGGCTAGAATGTGAAAGTAGTCCTGCATGATGAATGTGTCTGAGTTCATATCACCATATCACACTGTCTCCAATTTAGTTTCAGAAGCTAAATAGAAGTAAGTATATTTGCAACACTTTATAGAATACATCTAACACATCTCATTTCCAAATCCAGGTACCTAAGACTACTTTTGATTTTTGACTATAGATAAATATGGTGGTTCCTATGTTGCCATTGTATAATTATAATAGACACATTTTCCAAACCATAAATTGGGACCTAGGATTTTACAAAGAGAGTTTCAGGTTTGTACACGTTTATATGAAAAATCTTATGAAGATATAAAATGTCAAATACATTTAATTATATGTTTAACAAGTCACCTTAATTGAAAAGAAAAATAAAGTCACATGAGAGATGGTCCACTTGGAAAATACCAAACATATGGATCTGTAAAACATACTTCTTTTCTTTATAGCCAAATCTTTTTGTTTCTCTCAGGTCCAGGCTTTATCCTTATTAAGTTAGTTGTAATCTTTGTTTAGCTAGGGATGTTGAAGCCATTTCATGCTTCAGTGCAGAATGGTAATTAATGTTGGGATTTTGACCTTTAAAAACACACGTAGAGGATTTAATAATATTGATGTAATTACAATGCTTTAAGTGGTTATTTCTTTTTTTACCTCTGCAAAAATTGTAATAGAGCCTGTTGCTGCTATTACTATTGCTTTTTAAATTATAAACAAGGTAATTTTTACTGTGAAAATGTATTCTAATTCAAATTAGGCATAACATGTAAAATATTTAAATACAAGGATCCTTGCTTCCTTTGCTTGCTTATTTTCCAATACAAAATAAAAATGTCCAGATAGATTTAATAGATATTTTCAGAGCATTTCACTCCAAAGCAGAAAAAATATACATTCTTCTCAAGTGCACATGGAACGTTTTCCAGGATAGACCACATGTTAGGACACAAAACAAGTATCAATAAATTTAAGAAGATTGAAATCATATCAACCATCTTCCCTGATCACGATGAAACTAGAAATCAACTACAAGAAAAAAAAAACTGGAAAATACACAAACACTAGAGGAGGCTAAATAACATGCTACTAAACAATGAATG